CCAGGGGGTGCCAACTCTGATCCAGGCCTGGGGGCACGGCCAGGAAAAGGGGCAGAGCTCTCCATGGGCCCGCTCCCAGCCCCACCCAGGGGCCAGCCCCCAAGTCCCCTCCCATCCCTGCGCCCAGCCCTGGCCCCACCCCCACTCCCACCTGCTCCTGGAAAGCAGCCGCCTGTTCAGCGAATCCGGCCTCAGTGAAATACTCAACGACATCCCGAACTGACCAATCCACCGGGTCCCCTGGCTTCTCCTTCTTCACAGAGCTGGGAGGGGGGAGAGTGTTGGAGCCATCACAGCCTGGTCACGGCCCCTGCCCCGCCCCCATGTGGGAAGGCGACTCACCTGCAGCCTAGGGGGGTCCCGTCCAACGCCTGCAGCCCTGGCCGTCCTGGGGAACCCGGCACTGAGGGGTCAGCACCTGCCATGGCTGGAGACCCTGTGTGGAGATGGAGCTGAGGGGGGGGGTGCCCACCACCTGCTGCCCCTCACTCCTGACCCAGAGCCCCCTGCCTCCACCCTGGCCACCATGCTGGTGCCCCTCACCCCCCCAACCCACAGCTCCCTGCCTCCCCACTCACTCCCAAACCACAGCCCTCTGCCTCTCCCCCCTGCCACCATGCTGGTGCCTCTCCCTCCACAGCCCCCTCCCTAACATTCCTCAGATGCAGCTGGGTCCTGGATGCCGAGACCTGACATTGTCATTCCATACGTGACCCCAGCCCCCTGGAACCAACCCCCTCCCTGCCCCAGTTGGACACCTGAGTCCCAGGGCACCAGGATCTGGGCGCTCCCAGCCCACCCCAGATGCCTGGTTCCCTTACCCGCCCTGTCTAGCTGGCCACAGGAGCCCCCATCCTTCTTGGCAGTGCCCAGCTGCTGGCAGGCGCTCTCAGCAGGGGAGCAGGCTTTGGTGTGGCGCCGCTCAGGCCCGGGGGGCCTCTCCGAGGCCTTGTCAGGGGATCGCTCATCAGGAGGGTGCCAATCCCGGGCATGGCCTCCCCCTCCTGGGGTCCCGCGGTGCCGGTCCTTACAGTCCCCGTTCAGTGGCAGGGGCTCAGCCCGGCCCCCCCCGGGCACCTCAAAAGCCTGGGCCTCGGAGCCTGACGACAGTGTGGAGGCCCCGTCATCCTCCTCATCCTCGTCTTCGTCCTCATCCTTCTCCTCCAGTGGCTCCTCCCCAGGCTTCTGTGGGCAGTAAAGGGGGTGGAGGGGCATTAGGGACCATGGTGCCCCTCACTCCTGATCCTGATGCCCCATTGGGGTGGGAATTAAACTGACTGTACCTCCCCTGCCCCCCTCGAGCATGGGGCTGGGAACTAGGAGATCAGCAGCTCTCTGTCACCAACTGGGGCCAGAGAGCTCCCAGCCACACGTGGGCAGTGTGGCTTGGCAGCCTGGAGGGGAACGGAAGCACTTCCTGTGTCCCAAACAACCTCAACCGAGCAGAACCCCATGACCCCGCTTCAGTGTCTCCATGTGAGAAAGGGGCCCATCTCACTGCTGCCCTGATTCACCCCCTACATGTGGCCTGGGCAGAGCCTGGCACCCCCCAGCAGCTTCAGGCCTTAGGGGAGCACCCATTAAAGGATTTAATTAAGGGCTGAATGCTAATCAAGCCCCATCCCCCCCGCCACCTCCCCCTGCACAGCCCAATGGTTGGAGCAGGGAGCTCCCAGCTCAGGCTGGATGGACCGTACCATGTGGGGTGGTGGTAGGGGGACATGGACAGTGCTCTGGGCCTACTGGGAAGTACCTTTCAGGACCAGGCCCCCCCC